TATTTTTGGCGAGAAACTTCACGCTACCATATTACTATCTAAACTTTTTGTCTACATTTTGAACTTTTAGCCTAAAATGTCTCCAAAAACGCGGTTTTCGCACATGCAAAAACTACGTTTTGAACACACAATTTAGCTAAAAATCCGAAACAAAAACAAAAAATTTAGATAGCAAAAACGTAAAGTTTCTAACCAAAAATATTTGACAAGAATCCATGTACACAGCGACATGTTTTAACTTAAAAAAACATCTACGAATTGCACAATGTAGGCAATGAACGAATCTACAAACTACGCACACCTCGCTTTAATAAATTAACATAACAACAATAAATTTCAAAGAATACCATGTACACAGCATTCTGTTTAAACTTTAGGCCCACCAGCGGCCGAGCGGTAAAGTCGCTGAACACTGGTAGTTCGGTCCGAGGTTCGAATCCCGCGAACGGGCTGGCTGCATGGGTGTTTTCGTGGTTTTCCCCATGTGTAACGTGTATACGAGCCAGTTTCCCTTAGAAAGTCCTCCACGAAAGGCATCCCTCCCCTTAGGCAGATAGCCCTATTGTGCTTTGCCATAATTAAATACGTGTCTGTTTAAACTTTAAAAAAAATTCTACGAATTGCACAATTTAGGCAAGGAAGGAATCTACGATCTACGCACTCCTCGCTTTAATAAAATAACAAAACAACAATAAATTTCAAATAATACCATGTACACAGCATTCTGTTTCAACTTTAAAAAACATCTACAAATTGTACAGTCTAGACACTAAACAACTAAATAAACTAAAATAAATTTCAAACAATTTAAAAAACAACAATAACGACAGAAATTCATACTAAAGAACCAATGAACATAACATTCTACAAAATAAGAACAAGGATAAAATAAAATGCACTTACCATGAAATAATGCGTTTTCGAATAGCAGAAATATAAATTTCATACCGCCTTTAACATGCCGCCATGTAATCACTATCGTATTTACATGACAGCCAGACACACTATCCAGAAAATTTATACTATGGTTCACAAATAAATAAAATCACAAATCCCTACTTCTATCATGCACTGCCATTAAAAATAATCTCCCAGACCCTCTTTCCACACTTTTAAATACCCACTACCCCTCAACAGGATAGCCACAATCATATTTTCTTTTGCCGAACTTCAATTCAACAACTACCATTTTATCTTTCCCTCCCATCTTCTCAGACACAGAGGTGAACCAACGAGCTCCAGCGAAAGATTTTTCAACGTCAACAGGGTTGCCACAGAACACGCAATCGCGCCAAAAACCAGCGCAGAACACATATAGCCACATTTGGTGAAATTAGGGCATATATTATATTCTCCTGCACATGTCCACTTCAAAATAACATCATGCGTTGTATAACAAGGTACTCCTAACATCACAGAAATTTTCTGAACAGACTTTCCACAGCAATGACAACCTTCTCAGTGTTTAAAATCATCTAGTTTCCATTTTCCTCTCATGGTACTTTTTGCTTTGAAATAATGATTGCAAACTTGTCTGGCTTCTTTTATGCTTCTTTGGGAGTTAGAAGATCAATTTTACTCGCAGAATACACTATTACAAGAGGTTTCCAGATACTTTTGATCACCTAGTGTACTTAAATATCCTAGAACAAATAAGTAAAATTTGCCAAAATGAAATTAAAAATTTTTATAACAGCTTTTCCCTTTTGTGAAAAGATGATTTGGAAACTATGCTTTATTGTGAAACTATTATTCTGAAAAGCGTTTTTAATGATAGTGAAGTATTTTATTACATTTATTTGTTTAAAAAAATGCTATGAAATCTGCAATGTTTTTACTCCATTAGGTATGATTTAAAATGATGGCTTGCTGTACCCTGATGTTTCTTGTTCTGCCATTTTGAAGAACCTCATAGCAGCTTGATATTTTACATGTGAATTCCAGAAAAATGAATTTGTGAACAACTTTGAGAAACTTGAAACCAGTTGTCTCATTCTTGGCACAGGATGGCATGCATTCTTCCCTTTTCTTTTCCCTCTAAGATCTGAGCATGAGGTTGGATTAAAAACAGCTCTGAGAATCATCAAAAAAAAAAAAAAAAACCTTTGTCAGGAAGAGCAGTTAAAATGTAATCATAAGAGATAGCTGCCTTAAAATATTTAGTACCAATTTTGTAGATAGTGTATGAAAAAAATATATGTAAAGACAAGTTTTCCTCTTATTATGAAGAAAAGTTTATTGGAGCACTTGGCATTATGAACAATGTAGATACAAGAGGTAAGTGAATTTTATATTTAGGAATAAAGAACCTGATGCGACACTGGCTTTTTGGAATTCTTTTGTTTTATGGTGTCCCAGGAATCAGTTTAAAAAGTTGTTCTTTTTTTAATATTAATTTTAATATTTTCTTCGATTGCATTTTCAACAGATTTAACAAAGTTGCAGCTTTTTTATTCAGTACTATAACAAGAAAGGTTTCTTTTTCCCGGCCACTGCTGTTGAAGATTCTATGCTGCAGCAGAATGCAGCTAACATTACTTTTTCTTTTAAGAACAGGCTTTCATCATTCTCTACCACCAAGCTATCTCTGCATGTCGGACACACATACTTTTTTCATATCAGTGCTCCAGTCAAAAACAGTAGTATCAGCCAGGTTGAGTTCTTCCATGTTAAACTTCATTAATACAATTTTCTTAGACAGGCAGTAGATAATGGTAATGGCAGTAACAAATGGCAATCTACTTGCCGACTCTCACATGTACACTGATTTTATGTCTTTCAAAGATCGTCAGGCATCATTTGACTCACTCAAATAAAGCTTCATTTCATGCAAACTGCAACACTGACAGTTACTCGGCAATGTATTACTCTTGTAAGAAACTAACAGGATCACATTCATTGTTTAGTAGATCCCATAGCCCCAATCACACTTTATAAAATTGCAAGGAAAAAAAAAAAAAAAAAATTAAAACTTAGGATCATGGGGTTGCAAAACCAAATAATTTGTGTTGCCAAAGTTGACAATTACTAGTTTTTTTCAGCAAAAACTGGCTTTTTCTCTACTAATACATTAAGTACTAAAATTCCTTAAAAGCTAACAGATACAGAGAACTAATTATATCAAACTGTTGGAAAGCCCCCACTTATTTGTCTCATGATGGATTCATCTTTTGTTATTTTTCCAACAACTTTCAAACTTATTTAATTCCTTCAACATTAAATTACATGACCCACTCCTCTCCCAAAAATTACAGAGATAATCAAGGAAGCTTTTATCTTGCATTTTAAAAACACATATAAGGTATTTACAAATCATAAACAGCGGATTAGGAAAAAAAAAAAATTGGTGGTTTAAACCATTATTGAACTTTTGAACGATTATTTACTTTCTGTTTACTTAACCGTATTAATTCATATATCTAAAACTGTACCTGTACCTTTAACAAACTGTTTGCTCATGGTTGTATGCAGATGCATACTTCTTATAACTCATTACTGTTGATTATAAAATTTATTAATGTTGAAGATCTCCAGTAAATTGATTTCATTAAGAAAAGCAATTTCTATAATCAATTAGTTCTTTTCCAGTATAATGACATGTGTAGTGGCCAGTTACCTAATTAAATTTTGTAATTAACTACAAAATTAAACGTTTCTTTCGATTCTGTTCCATTCTTATTCACTATAACTTGCTTTCAAAATTTTAAACATTTCTTGATAGGGCTCTGAGAATCTGATAATACATCATACTCTCAGCACGTAATTATGACAAAATTTTCAAAGGATATTTTTAATAAACCCATTTCCTAGAGCTGACAGCTTCAGAATAAAAGTAATTTAGAGATGAAATGCCGCACTTTTCATGTTATGATTTCCAATGACATAATCTCTGATAAAGATGTCTCAACGCATTCAAGTAACACATTTAATAGCATTTAGTCCACTGGGCATAAATTCTAAGCATCCAATTGATTTTGAACAATGAATATAGTTAGCTTTTGGAAAGTTTGTTGATTTCAACTTGGCACTATACTGTTTCATTTCAGTGTCATTCAGGAATTTTAATGTCACATCAGATATTAAAATATTAATGCTTAAAAAAATATTTTAGAGACAGCTATCAAGTCTTTCATTCAAGATTCAGAAAACAGTCCACTTGTACACTCTCGATTTTCAATCAATTTTAAAATTAAAGCTTTAGATTATATGTTTACAACCAGCATAAGAAAATTGAACATGATATTTACCATCAAGCTTGCTTTAATTTTATGGTTTTATATCATATATATGTTGAAAATCATGAAAATAATAAAACCTGATATTAAAATCACATGAATTCCATAACACTATACAGTCAGTTTTCAGTACTGCACTATTCCTAAAACGTATTCATTTTACAAAGCATTGGTAAAACATATTAATTCCTAATTTAGTTTCATTATGAAAAGAAGTCTACTTACCATGATAAACTGTTTACTGACAAAATTACGACTGTCAGCAGTAAACTTTTACCTTAGTGCGCGAAAATCATGTGATCGCTATTACTTTTAATTTTTCTTCCCCCCCTCTATTATTTATATTCTGAACTTATCGATAACCAACAGATGTATACTCCTAATAAATAAATATATAACTCATTTCCGAAAAACAAAATCCAATAATTTAATAAAAAAACCTTTTTGGAATTTGAATACATATATAATAACCAATTTCTAGAGATAGTTTCATTTATGTTTTCATGCGCATTCTTAATCTGCTTAAGATAAAACAAGGGCTATGAAAAAAAAAATCATAAAGCTATAATTTGATCTGATATTTTCACTAAATCAATGATTTATAAAATTTAACTACAAGTTTTTGCTTCATATTTTTTTTTTTTTTTTGGGGCTCCTTTTTTTTATTTGCAGCATTTTAAGGATTTTCGCAAGCGATGACTGATGCAGTAGCAAATATTAACTCAACTCGGTTTGTATGTTGACCAATTAGGAAAGTGAAAAAAGTTATGCTGTGTTTACTCAACTCGTTGTATTTTGAACGAGAGTGATGCGTTCGTTTCTGTGTAATGGTACCCTTGCACGTTGATTTAACAAAGAGAATCAGAATTGTTTTTACAATCTTTTTAATTCGTATTTTAAAGAGAAATGGAAGGCATAGGCCGTGGTGGTCGAGGTGCTTTGCTACTTGCTGCCCTAAAAAACCAGCCTCGTCGACCTGGTCAAACATCTGAAAGTGATGCTTCTGCTGATTCGACGAGCAGTGAACAATCTTCTGAACCTAAACCTTTAGGTCGAGGTGCTTTTTTAAAATCGCTTTTACAGACAGGTAGAGGAAGAGCTGTACCGTCAGCTGAAGAATCGGAAATTCGTAGACCAGTTGGTCGTGGACGAGGCTTAATTTTAAGTACTGTTTCGAGTGATGCTCGCGAGAGTCCAGATGTTCCATCCACAAGTTCATCATCACCATCTCAATACTCTCCGCCGTCATCGGATTTTCAGAATCTGTCATTAAAGAGTGAAGTAGGCCCATTAAAACCAAGCATTGAAGGTCGTGGACGAGGCTTAGCCCTCAGTAGCATTTCGAGTAACGTCCCTGGAAAAGTTAAAGAAGTTTTTAGCTCTGGCACTACGGAGAAAGTTTCACCACGTGTTCCACCTGTTAGTTCACCTACACCTAAAAAGTCACCTTTAGAATTTCAGGGTGCTCCTTTGAGCAGTTACCAAGGTACATCAGGCAAACCTCTACACCTTGAGGTCAATTATGTACGCTTGAGAACAGTCGAAAACAAAGGAATTTATGAGTATCATGTAAATTTTGTACCATCTGTGGATAGTAAAAGCATGAAGTTCCGTTTGATGAATGATGCCTCTGTGAAAGAAGTTATTGGCAATGTCAAGACATTTGATGGAAGCAAACTGTATTTACCTCTTAAGTTGATGACATCCCCTGTCAATATAGAAGTGCATATGCCTACCGATAATTCATTAGTTTCTGTTTCCATAAAGTTTGTAAAGGAGTGCCAACCGAATGATTGTTTGCATTTGTACAATCTATTGTTTCGCAAGGTGATGCGCATTTTAAAAATGACTCAGGTATGTTCTTTCTTTCATCTGTCTGAAAATGCAATACTGTAGTGTTTTCTTGTTTGTATATAAGTTAAATTTTTTTTTAAGAAGACAATACACGTATAAAATAGAGTAAAATTTTAGATTGTATGAGCAAATGGTGAAAAATTAAAAGCAAAATTTATTAAGCTTCTGGAATATATATCATCACTTATATGTATTGCAACGTAGGTGTAGTTTAGAGGTTTACAAATACGTAAACATGTATATATATCTATATTCATTTGCGGTTTTGCAGCTGAAGATGATGGTTCGGTAAAACCATCGAAACTAGTCCTGTGAAAATTTTGTGAATATAACGCTGATTTTTGTTGTTTGACTTCTGAATTAGTATTTATTCGGCGTGTTATTGTGTCTTAATATCTATAGACTTTAAGCATCTAAAGTTAATATTAAATTGGAATCAAAGTGAGGTGATTCCTCAACAATATTAATAATTTCAACCTTGTATATATTGTATAATCTTGTATTATTAATATTGTTGAGGAGTTGCCCACCTTGCCTTGCTCTGATTCTAGTTTAATATTACTTCAGATGCCTTAAGGAGTAAAGTGCAGAATCGCCCACTTATGTGGAGCATATTGATGTGTACATGGACAAAGTTAAGGGAGTGCACAATGCTAATTTTGTGCAATTCTCTGAGGTTTTTTTTTAAGTGAACATAGGTTGATGTTTACATGGAAACTGAGTTTGTGAAATTCTTTGACTTGTTACTTTCAAGCTGATGCAGAATCGCCCACTTATATGACGCATATTGATGTGTACGTGGACAAAGTCATGGGAGTGTGCAATGCCAAGTTTGTGTAATTCTGATTTTTTCAAGTGAAAATAGGTCGATGTGTTCTAGGTAGATAGTATTCTAGGTGGATACTGAGTTTGTGCAATTCTTTGACTTGTTATTTTCAATTTGTCGATTTTGAGAAATGCACGAAGCAGTGGGAGATTCTGCACTTTCCCCGCTTTAAGTCAATTTTATTTCAATCCTGCAGCTATAGCGCAGGCAGGTTTGAGAAAATTGTTTTTAATTTTTAGCCTATTATTATGTTTCTTTATATATATATATATTTAAAGAAATATATCTCTTGTATTGCATTTTATATTTTTAAATTTTGCTATTTTGGGCAATTTTTATGTTTATTTTATTGTAAACCGAATCTTCCTGCACAATGCCTTAATTCAATAACTGTTCATTTACAGATGTACCATTTGATGCTTCTGCAAAGACATTGCAGAGTACTTTGCAGAACTATCAAATACAACTCTCACTTTTGTCTGGTCAATATTTTCCAAGATGTAGAATATAATGTAATGGTTCCAAAATTATATTTTTGTGTACTCCTTTTACTGGGCCTAAAGTTTCGTATTCTTTGAGTAGATCTTGATACAATTCTTAAGCAGTTTGCTCCAAAATGAGTTTAATCTGTAATTATAAGCATCTGAACAATATACCTTCTATTGCCATCTCAATAATGTGTTCTTGAGAAATGATTTTCAAATAATAGTTCGGTGAAATATATATAATTATGTCATAATAGTTTTCATAACATTCAACTACTCGGGTTACCATAAATGAAAGAACAACTTAGCAATGATCCAAGGGGCACCCTTAAATATACTCGTAACAAGTAAATGTTAGTATTGTTATTTAAATTACCATATTCCAAAGATCAGCCAAAAAAACATCCCAGAATTGCACAAAAATGGCATTGCGCACACTCTTCACAATATCCATGTACACTGCTTTTTTCTCATAAATTAGAAAATTTCACGAAAATGCATGAAAATACTAACGTATACTACTCAACATATTCCAAAAAATACAAAACATATAACTCACAAAATCACGATCATTAATTAAATATTATAATTAAAAAAAAACAACTTAAATATAAATAGCAAATACATTAAATTAAAAAAATTAGATTACAATCCTAATACTTTAAACTAAATCATTGCTAATAACAATTCCAATAATACATTTAATTTAGTTACTCCTTACATTTAGAACAGGCATAAAAATAATTCTCAAATGATTAAAATACTAACATACCTAATCTCTTAGAATCTTCATTACGTTGCTGCAGTACTACTGCTTAATTTAATCTAAATCAGTAGTCAACTGGAGTATATTCACCATAAAAAAAATAATAAAATTTCACTATACTCAAATACTTCAGCAAACCAATACCCTCCTTACACTCCTTTTCAAAATGTCCATTTTCACCATATTTCTTGCACCGCATTAAACTGTAAATCCTCCTTTCAAACAATCTCAACTTATATTCTTAGCAGATAATGCATTAAAAATTTAGAATTCAATTACTAGCGCCTGCAATCCAAAATAATTAACACTATTTCAACAACCACAATGAAGCTTTCCAATTACCCCCTTTCGATAAGAACTGTAATGTCCAGTAATGTCAAGTTCACACACAGAATTAGCTAAATATAAAATTTCCAGATTTCCCCCCTTTCCGTTAAACAACTGAATTGTCATTAATGTACAGACATATCATGATATCTCATTTCTTCCGCAAAATAATGCGTAATTGGAACTGAGTGCTTCTCACATTATTACCAAAGTCCTAGGTAGTAACCTTTATCATCTCCTAAATGTCGCCAAACTACCAGTTACCATATTCCAAAGATCAGCTAAATATATTCCTATATTATGAGTTTAAAAAATTGTATATTTATATTTAGCAATACTTCATTTCTTTTTTCTGATTTTTATGGCCTTAAAAAAGGCTGCCCTTTCTTTTCCAAAAACCTACGTCATTAAAAATGTTTTGGAGACATATTACAGTATAAAGATATAACATTTAATCGTGTTTAAAATTTCCATGAATGGATCTTGCAGTTATGTTTAACTTCATGCGAAATAGGTATTCGATCAGCCATGTGATCAACTAGATTTTCCTTGGGAAAACCACTTTTCTTTTATTTGACTTTCAGATGCCGTGTGTTCTGTTCTTTAGATTGAATGAATATTTGTATCAGTTGTCGGATTAACAAAATTTGTAGATATAAGAGTAATGCTATGCAGGCCAATGTAAGGAACCATAAAGAATGCGAGAGGAATGGTTGATACCTTCGAATATGCGAAGCCAGGTTATGCGTTACCAGTTTTGAGCTATTGTCATTGTTGGTGATGTTTACATTTACTGGGTTCTTTATGCAAGTGCTTCAATATTCCATAATATATCAGAAAATATCTAATCTGTAAAAAAAGTTACTTGAGAAATCTATTTGAAATACGTCTTCTATAAGTAATTTTGACAGAAATTTGAGAAGAATCTTCTTTTACTTGATTATCCCATCTTTCTTTTACACTTATTGCATGAAATTTTATTTTTACTGCTTTAATTGGTTTTTTTGTGGCAAAGTCAGTATTGAAGGCATAAATTTCATTCTAGGTGTATTCCCCACTTTGCAATACTACTGTCTCATGCATACTATAAAACAGAGGATCTATATATATTTGTACTACAATGTATACATGATGTACTGCAAATCATAATGAAATGCATCATGAATAGCTATAATTTTTAATTTGCGTTAGGAATACTGTAGGTAGGTTGAATCCTAAATTTTTAGAATTTGAAAACAAGAATAATGAGAAGAATCTTTAGCATTTATATTAAAGCAAATTTTAAAATCTGTGTTCAGTAAAAAAACAAATTCAAGAATAGAATGTTTAAAAATATCTTGCTGAGTACACAAATTCATGAATCTTGAGCTTCACTTCCTAGACAAAATTTAACAAGCATATTTGTGTAACAGTTCCAAATCCAGCTGCCATGACTGAATAATTCAGCTGGAGGTCACTTAAACAGTGCAGTATTTTTAGAGTATGACATGATTAGTAGTAAGTTAGCAACATCCAGAATTGCAAAGATAATTTGGGAGTTTTGTTTAAAGCATAGTGCACTAGTATTTGAAAATTCTAGCATATTTTGCTGGATGATATGAAAAAGAGTTTGGCATTTAAGGCTATTTTTTAAGGTACCACTGAAATTGCAGCATAGTTTTTTTTTTCTTAATGAATGTTTCTACTGAGCATTAATAAAGCTATTATTTCAAAAGTTTTATGGGAAAATGTTTAATAATTTTTAAGGGGGAAAACTCAGAAAAATGTGAATGTTGAGAAAAGGCTCTAAAATTCTAGGCTGATCTTTAGAATATGGTAACTGGTAGTTTGGCGACATTTTGGAGGCGATAAAGGTTACTACCTAGGACTTTGGTAATGATGTGAGAAGCACGCAGTTCCGATTACGCATTATTTGTGTGGGAAATGAGAGATCATGAGATATGTCATTGACATTAATGGACGAATTACAGTTGTTTATCAGAAAGGGGGGAAATCTGGAAATTTTGTATTTAGCTATATTCTGTTTGTGTGAAACGTGACATTAATGGACGAATTACAGTCTTTAATCGGAAAAGGGGTTAATTTGGAATAGCTTCATGTGTGTTGTGTAAAATAGTGTTGATTAATTTTCGGATTGCATGGCGCTTTTAAAGTGAATTCTAAATTTTTAATGCATTTATCTGATAATATAATAAGTTGAGATTGTGTGAAAGGAAGGATATTACAAGTTTAAAATGGCGGTGCAAGAAATGTGAAAGGACATTTGTGAAAAGGAGTGTAAGGAAGGGTTACTTAGTTTGCTAAAAGTATTTGAGTATAGGTAAAATTTTATTAATTTCTTATTACTGGTGATGCATAGACTTCTAGTTGACTACTGGATTTAGGATTTAGAAATTACAGTATACTGCAGCGACATAATGAGATTGAAGAAGATTAGGTAAGTATTATTTTTAATCATTTGATGGATTATTTTTATGCATTGTCTAAATGTATGGAGTAAATAAATTAAAATGGTATATTTGAAAATTGTTATTAGTAATGATTAGTTTAAAGTTTAGGATAGTAATCTAATTTTTTATTATTTAATGTATGTGCT